TCCAGCCCTTGACCTGGTGCTAAAAACAGGGGCCAGGAAGTCCAGCACAGCCCTTTTCCCTGCTCCCCAACACAGCCCTGCCTACTCTCCAGTTCAGGACAATTCAGGCCAGAGTGTGACCCGAATTTGAGCTTTCAAATCCAAAGAGCTCCGAGAAACCTCAATCACAGCGCCAAAACCCTTCCATACCTGGGATGGAGGTGCAAGTCCTTCCCGGCCCTTCTTCCTGGAAAACCCAAATCAAGGACGAGGTCTCTCAGGTCTTCCCTTGCCCTAAACACACACGCACTCCTCACACACAACATACACACTTGCTGACCCCACACCCGTGCACACCTCATACCACACACACATGAACACTCACTTGCTCACCCCAGCGGGCTAGCTGGCCCCCACAAGGGACACCTACCAAGTCGCACACCTGCACACCTGCCCCCAAGTGTATAGCCACTTGCTCCCCCATCCCCGCCTTCCAGCCCCCACTACACCTGCCCCAGCGCACACGCACGGGCTCGCCCTCCACCCCGCCCCGCCGCCTGCCCCCCACCCTCCTGCTCCCCGCTCTCCTGCCCCACGCGCCCCGCGCCCTGAGCCCCGCACCCCACGCCCCACCGCCCTCCGCACTCACCGGCGCCGGCGCCCGCCGTCCCGCGCCGCCCCGCGGCCTGGGGCCCCGCCGCCCCGCTCCGGCCCGCGGCTCCTGGGCTGGCCCGACCCCGCAGCCGCCGCTTCCCGTCACGTGGGGCGGCCGCCAGGCGCTGGCGGAGGGCGGGAGCGCAGCCGTCCCCGCGCCGCCCGCCGGCCCGCGGTCCCTGCCGCCTGGCTCCGAGCACAGGCCGAGAAGCGCCCTGCTCCGGGCCTCTTCGTCCCCCTCCGTGTACCGGGGCCACGACACGGCCCGCCTCGCGGGGCGGCCGGCGGGCGGAAGGTGTTCATTCGGGGGGCGCTGAGGCCGCCGGCCCCGGGCGAGAGCGCGGTCCGCGCCAGCTGTGCGAGCCGTGGGGCTGAGGTCTCTTCTCCGCCCCCGCCGCCGCGGGGAGCGTCAGGGAAGCCGGGCTTTGCCTGGCTGACTCGCCACCCAGTTTCTGTCACCTACACAGGAGGAGGGCGCTCGGGAAATACCTGCTGAATGAACGAATGAACGAATGAATGAATCCTAGGAAATGCCTGGGCCCGCGGCCACCTGACCAGGCGGGCTGGAGGTTCGGACGTACCGCCGGTGCCCCACCAAGAACCGAAGGCACTGTTGGGATGCGCAGTCCTCGCAGGAGGCCCGCAGCGCCCCAGGGCCCCAGGGACTGACTGGGACCCCTGACTGGCAGAGTCCGCCTGCTTGATAACTTATTTGAGAAGGGAGGCCTGGGACTATCTTATGCTTTTTAGGAAAACCCAACTGCAGCTATTCCTTTGGTTCAGGCCGCAGTGAAGAACTGTAGGTTACTATGAATCCATGAACCTCTCTTCAATATACAAAGTCCAATTTCATGATGAAAGAACTGGAAAGCTCCCTCCAGAGTTGTCAGTACTCAATTATTAGCATATAAAAAGTCAAATTTTCCCAGTGATTTTCAGACTTTAGGAGCTGCTAGTGACCTGTGGCCTCAGCTTTCTTACAGCCACTCTGAGTATTGTAAAACAAAGGTATTATCCCAAGTCTGAAGGCAGATACCAGATTGTACTCCATGGTCTTCTGTTTCAAAGGGATAAAAAAAGGAAAAAAAAGAAAAAGAAAGTGGCCAAAAAAAACCCAACAATCTTCTGTGACTTGTCCTCCATCCCTACCTTAGTGTGACTCATGGCAACATAAATGCCCCATGCCCAGTGGGGCCAGTGTCACCGGCTCAGCCTCCAAGTAGGGGACTAGCTTCCCAGGAGTGTAAAGCTGTGGCCAGCAATTGAGCTTCAAGGGCAGGCAGCAGTGAATGGACCTTCAAGTCTAAGGTGGCCAACAGCTAGTGGAGCCAGGGATTGGGAAGGTACAAGAGCAAATCCAGTCTCCTCATTTTACCCAGGCTCAAAGAGACTATGTGACTTGTCATCAACTAATCACTGGCTCAGGTGGGCCTAGAATTCACCCTTGTGCTTTAGCATTTTAGTCCTCTACCAGATCACATTACACAGAGCTGCACAAGACTGGTTACAGAGGTGATATCTACTGACTGCCAGACAGTGACTTCAGAAACTGCTAGTGACTGAGCAATGAAGTAGATGCTACTAATTTACCATTTTACAAATGCGTTGATTGAGGCAAAGAAAGGTGAATGACTTCCTGTGTTAATTCACTTAGGAAAATATAAATTAAAAAAATTTTAAAAGGTGACTTGTCCCAAACCTCATGCTAGTAAGAAAAAGCAACAGTAAGAATCCAGAATTTAGCAACAGTGATTTTTATATAGTTTTGAATGAACAGTTTATGAACAATCTTTGTGTTCTACTTTAGATGATCCAGGAGTGAAAATGTATAACAAGAAATAATTCAGACATATTTATTTTATGAAAGGATTTATCACAGGATTCTTATAATGGCAAGCTCCATATTATTCCATCTAGAAACATCAGTTCCTTCTGAAACTTGAAAAGTCTGTGTCACAAATGACAGGCACCTTCATGTAAATGCCTGTACCATAAATGTGCAAATATGTGCATAGGCCAAATTCCTTGTTTCTATTGGTTACATTTAAGAATATCAATCATACGGCTTTCAAAACAATTATTAACTTCACTTTTAATATTTATTAGATATTCCTTGGGCCCATACCAAGCGTTATTTTACAAAATGTGAAAAAGATGGGCTCTGATGAGAACGATTATTGAAGACTGAGTTGCATCGATATAACGGAATATTTTCATAGTTGCTGTCTACTCTCAAAACTTAGGATCCTTATACTTACACAAACTTTGTGCTCCTCACTTTCTCACTAGGTATACACTTGGGAGGGCAAGGATTGTGTCTATGCTCTCTGCTGTATCTTTCTGCATGTAGAAAACACTCAACCAATTTTTAAAAAATTCTTGAAGCTCAATATTGAAATATTGACTAACCAGATGACTTTTTTTTTTTTTTTTTTGCTCAGGCTGGAGTGCAGTGGTACAATCTTCTCAGCTCACTGCAACCTCTACCTCCCGGGTTCAAGCAATTCTCCTGCCTCAGCCTCCAAAGTATCTGCAACTACAGGCATGCACCATCACGCAGGGCTAATTTTTGTATTTTTAGTAGAAACAGGGTTTTACCATATTGAACAGGCTGGTCTTGAACTCCTGACCTCAAGTGATCCACCCACCTCGGCTTCCCCAGGTGCTGGGATTACAGGCATGAGCAACCACATCCGGCCTAGATTAACTTTAAAAGAGGCTTTTAATACTAAGATTCCATTATTCTAATATATAAGCTTTTTTAAAAAAATTTTTTTGAGACAGAGTCTCGCTCTTTAAGAGCACACGTGTAGGATAGTTGGTGTCATTTTAGAAGATAAGCAAAGAAAGGTTACATTTTCGATTTTTTTTAAAGCAACAGCTTACTATGTGCCATGTTTTAAGAGCTTTTACATGTAATAGCTCATTTAATCATATACACACACACATCCATGTACTTGTAATCTAGCTTCACTAAAATAAACTTTTTTGAACTATTATTCACTCAACTATTTCTTGAGCAGCTCCTGTGTGCCAGGTACTATGCCAGAGGCTTCAGCAGATACTGAAATGAGGAAGACAGTCTCTACCCTCAAAGTTTAATGTGCAGTGGTTTATAAGGTAGAGTTGCTAGCCAGCAGGATCAACATCACCTCTGAACTTGTTAGAAATGCAAATTCTGGTGTCCCCATCCCAAACCTCCTAAATCAGAAACTTGGGTTAGGACCCAGCAAACTATTTTTACAACCCTTCCAGAGGATTCTAACGGACACACAATTTTGAGGACCACTGGATTAGTGTGATATGTGGAAGAAAAACCCACCTAACCAGATCATAAGGGAAAAAATAATGTGCTCTAGAAGTTTGATAGTGGAGCTCAGTTAGGAAGTATCTGAGGATGGGGAAAGGTTCATTCATCTGTATTCATTCAGCGTACACTTACTGTTCTTGTGCTGTGTGGCAGGCACTAAGAAGCCAAAGATGAAAGGTAACATGAGATGAGTGCTGTCGTCATCTGAATGTGTACCTCCAAAATTTCTATGTTGAAACCTAATGCTCAAGGTGATGGTATTTGGAAGTGGGGTCTTTAGGAGATAATTCTGTCACAAGTGTGGAAACTTCCTGAATTATTGCCCTTATAAAAGAAGCCTGAGAGCCTGTTGCCCCATCCACCATGTGAGGACACAGCGAGAAAGTGCCATTTATGAATGGGTCTTCACTACACCCAATCTGCCAGCACCTTGATCTTGGACTTCCCAGCCTCCAGAATTGAGAAATGCATTCTGTTGTTTATAAACTACTCAGTATATGGTATTTTGTTGTAACAACTTGAAATGACTCAATGAATTTAAAAGCAAGCCAGTAGTTTAACTGCTCTAAATAGCTAACAACATAGGTCCAAAATGTGAAATATTGCTTAAACTGTTACCTTCACATTGAAGCTCCTTTATGCTCGTGTATATATACTTTATATATACATATATATATATATTTTTTGTTTTTTAGGAGTCGTGCTCTGTCCCCTAGACTGGAGTGCAGTGGTGCAATCTCAGTTCACTGCAACCCCTACCTGCTGGGTTCAAGCGATTCTCCTGCCTTAGCCTCCCGAGTAGCTGGATTACAGGCACTCAAAACCATGCCCAGCTAACTTTTGTTTTTTTTAGTGGAGATGGGGTTTTACCATGTTGGCCGGTCTGTTCTTAAACTCCTGACCTCAAGTGATCCACCCGCCTCAGCCTCCCAAAGGGCTGGGATTACAAGCGTGACCCACTGCGCCCAGCCTGCTCAAGTGTATTTTTGACACAATATTTTGATGAAATATTTATAACATATCTTAACTATTACATTATCAACAAGAATCAACACCAGAGTCCTCAGTATATATTTTGTTCATCATGCATTCATTCCACAAACATTTATTGAGCACCTACTAAGTACAAGCACTGTGCAGGCTAATGACTAAGTGAGGGATTCGAAGGCAATGTATGGACCCTGTCCCAGAGGAATGCACAATCTAGTGAGGTGACAATGCCAGGCATGGCAGTGTTTGTTGATTCCCCACAGCTTTGTTCTTGTCAACTATAGTCACCAAATAAAAATGTGAATAAAACCTCAGGATCTTTGAGTGAAGCAAAAATCCTTATAGTTACCTTAAAATGTTGAGTGTCTTATGGTTACAGATGACAATGTAGCGGGAGTAACCTTAGGCCTGTAAACTCAAATGTGTAACAAAGATAATTTTTTTTTTCTGTAACTGAAACCTATTTCTATTTGAAGCCTCCATTTACCTGCAGTGACAATAATCTTATCAAACGGGAGGCCCTCCTCCTTTCTTTCAGTTTGAAACCTCCATTTATCTGCAGTGACAATCTTATCAACGGGAGGCCCGCCCCTTTCTCCAGGGCTTTGTCAAGACTGGGGAGACTACCCGAAGTGCCAAGATGAGAAGAGATAGACCTTAGGTCCTTGTGTCACTGGTCCCCACAGAAGTTCTGAGATGTCCTTTGTCCACCATAGTGTTTGGTTTTCAGTCTTTTGGTTTCAGGCTTGAGGGCTGGAGATGTCTGTGGCTTCAATTCTCATGTGGTATGGCAGAAATCTCTGTGTGGCAGCCCTTCTGCCTGGACATATTTGAAGCATCACCTCAGAACTTGTTAGAAATGCAAATTATAAGGCCTCCCCATCAACCTCCTAAATCAGAAAGTCAGCAGACTGCAAATTCTCCAATGTTCCATGCTACAAAGGTTCCGCCCAGGAAGGATTGGGCAGGCATCACCATTCTCTCCTTCCCTTGGAGGAGAGAGGGTAAGTGAATCTCATTCTAGTCCCTCCTCTCTTAATCTCGATTTTTTTTCCTCAGATGACAACCCTTCCATCTCAAGAGTTCTGCTTCAGAGGCACCTAGAACAGTATTAATATAGTTAGTTTTAAGCAAGGAAGTACTCTTAGTTTTAAACTGGGAAGTACTGGAATAAAAAAAAGACATCTTACCTGCCACAAAACATTTTTGCAGATGAATTAAGGCTTCAGGTTAGGCGATGGGTTCAGAAAACCGCAGAGAGAAAAAGCACAGCAAGAACCTGTAACCACTTTTTCAGACTATTAAACTCAAGGTTCTTCCTTCTCACACCATCATCCTGCCACTTCTTTCCTTCGATGACAATCAATAGGATACAAGACGTCTCCAAGGAGAGCCCCCAGAGGAGGCATTTTACACCCTTGAGCTCCAATCCTCACAACATTGCGGGATGGCTTGTAATTTCCATCTCAGAGGGGAGGACGCTACAGCTAGAGTGTATGTCCTAGGTAAGCAAAGAAGCCAAGGTTATAACACAACTCTGAGCCACTCCAAAGCCTGCCCTTTCCTCTAAACTGCCTTCTATGACCAATACCTTTGTAAAAACCAGCTGCCAGTTCTTAAACACTTACTCTGTGTCAAGTGTGTTTACAATCTCTACAATAATCTCCACTCCTTTGATCATCCTTCACAGAAAGTGCTAAGACAGCATTTTCCTGATGAGGGGACTGAAGCTGAGAAACTGAGTAACTCACCCAAGGTTTTGGTGCAACAGAGTAAAACCTGAAATGAGGTCAGGTTTCTAGCCCCAGATTCTCCCAAGGTAGCTGCTTTTGATACTAAAACAATGTGCCTCCTGGTGAAGGAAATGGGGATAATACTAATCACACTCATTTCACTATTGTAATGAAAATCAAATAAGATTTGAGATGTGGAATATGATGATGTTAATACCATGACGCTAATACATTTAACTCCAATTTAAGACAGATGCCTGCCTCAGCTCAGATTTAAGACTGTTCAATTTTGGGCAAGTCTGATCAGCTTTCTTGGCACCAACCTGAAAGAACTAGACTGAGCAACTTTTAAGTTTCCTCCCAGCTCTGAAATTCAGTTTTTAGACATAAAGTATTACATACATAAATAAGAAAAATTGGGAAACACTTCTCAGCTTTCTCTTTTTGAGGATCTCACTTCTAGTACTCTTTTGAGGTTTATCTTTTGGCATCCTCAGAGTTCTTCATATTTTTGTAGACAATGCAATAATTTCCAATAAAATGACACATCACAGAGGATGCATACAATAAATATTCAAAACATATCTGTAAGTTTTATTTTTTCAGACATGGTACCATTCTGTCGCCCAGGCTGAAGTACAGTGTGGTAATCCTATCTAACTGCAGGCTGGAATTGCTGGGCGCCTGTGATCCTACCACCTCAACCTCCCAAGTAGCTAGTATCGCAGAGACACCACCATGCCTGGCTAATTTTTTTTTTTTTTTTTTTTTTGTAGATACAGGGTCTTACTATGTGGCCCAGGCTGGCCTAGAACTCCTGGCCTCAAGCAATCCTCCCATCTGAGCCTCCCGAAACGCTGGGATTACAGGCATAAGCCACCACACCCGACAAGTTTAAGTTTTAAATGTGCAAAATATTTAGGGATATGTATCGCTCCCATGAATGATAAAAGAGAAGCAGAAAATATTTCTTAGTAAGTGAATTACTGGGAATTAGACTATAATTGATACCTACAGCAATTTAAAAACTTCACTGTAGCTATTAATACATGCAGAAAAAATGTAGTTGGATTTTATGCTTGCTACTTCCTCACTCTTGAGTAAATTATCCTTTCTATGCATCAGTTTCCTCATCTGAAAAATAGGCATTCTGGTAATACACACCTCATTAGGCTGTTCTGAGGAATGTGATAATACACGTAAAACGCAGTCCCTGGCACACTGTAAATGTCTAACAAACGTTTGGCGGTTATTACTGGCGTTTCCCAGCCGGTTATTATTTTTTACATGTGAGCAGGTTAATTCAGAGCATTACTTCAAAACAAATACTTGAATACCTATTTGTCCAAGGAGCCTGGGTTACAGGGAATTCACTAAATAAAGCTTCTAGTCTTACGTTATATAGAAGGGCGATGAAGAGACAAGAAACAGATTAAACAAAGAAAAGCACGATAATTTCAGACACAACCACTGCCATATTTAGAGTACTGTATACCGGCCCCCCGCGCCAGAATTCTTTCCCTTGAGGCTGCCCCAGGAATCCCTTTGACCTCTGCCGTTGGACGTCACAGAAAGCGCGACCAATCGTCGCCGGCTCCCGGAGCTTCACTCTTCCCTCCCTTCCTGCAAAATTTGACACGCCATTTGTTTCTACGTCTGACATCGTTCTCTTTTCTCTGGTCCCTGCGAGCTTTTGCAAGCTGGACCAGGCCCCAACACTCGCACCAGCTGCGAGAGAAAGAGCCCGGCATGCGGCGCACTCAGAGTGACGACACACTCGAGTCTCCGCCCGGGTACGTCACTTCCGGAACGCTTCCTTCGCGGGGCTTTGTGGGTAGCCGACTGGGGTCTCCTGGCGACGACGATGGCGGGGGATGTGGGCGGTCGCAGCTGCACGGACTCGGAACTGCTGCTGCACCCGGAGCTGCTGTCCCAAGAGTTCCTTCTCCTCACTCTAGAGCAGGTCGGGCGCGCCGGATCGGAGGGAGGGAGGGAAGGAGGGCGGGCGAGTGGGCCTTCCCAGGTGAGGCGCTTGCACCTGAGCTTGCCTTAAGTAGCCCTCGGCAACCACTGACACTCCCGCCGGGTTTGTGCCACTCTCCACCCACGCAAACCAGCCAGCTGTCCCCTCGCTCCCGCTCCTCGCCTCCTCTCCGAAAAAGAGACGTCCGTAGAATATCAGGAATGCTTGGGAAATAGGGCTTATCTATCTGAGTCCCGATGGCTTGTAAAGAGGAATCCCAGGCGACACCCCCTGCCTGTGTGCAAGCACCGACCTGAGGAAGAAAGGAAGTGGGGAAGAAGCGTAGAATAGACATGGAAGGTAGAAATCATGGACTGTCAGGACTGGAAAGCATCTGAGAAGCCGTCCATTGCACACCCTCTCTAATCGTTTAAAGATGATTAAACAGTTCTAGAGAGATGAAGTGACTTGTTTAAGGTCATAGCATCTGTAAATGGTACTGCCAGGGGGAGAATTCAGGGCTCCTGGCTCTCCATGTAGTGCGTGCTCTTTTCCAGCTGGTGTGGCCTGTAGTAATAGGAGAAAAATGAGAGAGGCAAAAAGTGATGTTTTAAGTGATAGAGAATTACTGAAAGTTTCCTTGGGGTTTATGTATCGTATTTTGTTGTTTTCCATATGGTTTTCCCCTGGTACCCTATCTTTCTTGAATTTCAAGTCCTCTTGCCAAGTAGAGCTTATTTTAATTATGGTAGTAAGTTTTTACCTGTGGTTATCAAACTTTTTAGGTACTTAAGAATCAGTCGAGGGCTTGCTAAAACACAGATTGATGGGCTCCGTCCCCTGTTTCTCGTTCAGTAGTTCCGGAATGTGGCCTGAAATTTTGCATTTTTAACCAGCTGGTTGCTGGCCTAGACAGCACGCTTTGAGAACAGCTGTCCTAAGGCAATACTTTCCAAAGTAACGGGCCTGTGAATTCTCTGGGAATGTTGTCCAAGAGAATCCTGGGAGTTTCCCCTACCTCTGAGTGAGTACAGGGTAAAAATAGGTGAGTCCAATATACGAAAGAGAAGTAAAATGTGCTTTTATTAGTTTTTGTTAGAGGATATAGGCTTGTCAGTTGTACTGTTTAATGTTTTCAATGTAATGTTTTCAAGCCTTTCTGAGTTGAAATTGAAGAGCCTGTGATCTCATTTCCATTCTCATTTTTCCTTCTTAAATCCAAACTCTGTTTTCATGACTACTACTGTGCTTATGCTGTGGTTTTCATGATGTCAAGAACAAATTGGAAAATGAGGAGGAATTTGGTGATTTAGATAGAGATGGTTGGACAGTGACTGGAGGCTTACTTGAAAGGACCAGTGAAAATGGGGTGCAGGCTTTTCTAATGATGTACTGCTACTGTCATCAGTACGGGGATAACAGTTTCTATCTGTGGTATTATTTGAAATCTTAGTAGTTAACTTCAATTTAGGAAGCACCAGATTAGAGAAGCACGAGAAATATAAGACAGACTGAGACCTTCATCCCACTAATCTGATCATGATAGTAACACTCAAAGTAGCTTATTGACAGAATGTGGTGATTGTTAATCATTGTTAGCTTTCTTTTGTCTGTTTTTCCCGGGCAGTCTCCCGTTTTCAATCCCCTTTGTATATTAAGATAATATTACTGGAAATGATCTTTCATGCTTGGTGTGTTGGCTGAGCAGTTGTGGACAGCAATCCTTGTCACACTGAGAAAATAGGACCATTGTCTTTAAGATGAGGCTGAACCTCATATTTACAGAATTCAACCTATAACACTGCCTCTGAGTGCACGTGTTTTGTGAAAATGGTTTTTTATAATTTGTTATTTAAGCAGTCATGTTTTACCCTGTTAGGTAAGGTGGTTACTTACTAAAATAAAAAATGTTGTTTTGAAATTGCTTTTGTTTCCTTTCCCACAGAAGAACATAGCTGTTGAAACTGATGTAAGAGTAAACAAAGACAGTCTTACTGACCTTTATGTCCAGCACGCAATACCATTGCCTCAGAGGGATTTGCCGAAGAATAGATGGGGGAAAATGATGGAAAAGAAAAGAGAACAACATGAGATTAAAAATGAGACTAAAAGGTACTTTTTGGTGGTTCTAGTTTTCAATGTATCTTATATAACTAAACAGTTACTGATTTTTCCTGAAGTAAACTTAAGTAAAAAAGTTATTTACTCAATAACTATCTATTGAGCACCAGGCACTGTCCATATAGCAGTGAATAAAACTGACAAAATTCCCTGCTCATATTTTTGTTGGGAGAAACATAATAACACAGTTAAGATATGGTATTGTTGTATAGTAATAAAGACCAGGGAGAAAGATTACAATTTTTGGTAAATTGTCCAGGAACGATCTTAGTGAGAAATGACATTTTAGTAGAGAGACCTGTAAGAAGAAGAGAACAAGCTAGCATTCCAGGCAGAATACAAGAGGCTGGATCTTGAATGTGCCCATCATATACCAGAAACATCAAAGCAGCCATCAGGGCTGGATGGCGAAGTAGGAGGAACGAGTTGTGTTGGGGGTGAACGGGAGAGGTTGTCAGATCATGTAAAGCTTTGTAAGTCATTGTAAGGACTTTGGCTTTACTCTGAGATGAGAAGCCACTAGAAGGTTTTAAGCAGAGTGGTGACATCATTAGATGTACATTTTGACAGGATGACTCTGGCTGCTGTCCTAAGAAGTGATTTAAGGTGTGTGGGGAGGGAATGGGCGTGTATAAGAGTGAAAGCAGGGAAACAAATTAGAAGGCTGTACTGTAATCCATGCAATAGATGGCGGCAGCTTTGACTACAGTAGTAAATTTGGTAGGTTGGAGCATGCATGTTTGACGATAGAGCCAATAGGATTTCCTGAATTTTGAGAAAAAAGTCAAGTCAGGTAAAACTCTAAGGTCTTTGAATAATACACAAATGGAAGGGCCTGTTAACTAGCTTAAGTTATGCTATTTAAAATTATTTAATTTCAAAAAAATTTTTATAAAACCACAAGCAAGTGATTTTTCTTTTTTAAAGAAAACTACATGTGATTAATCAGTGTTGTTGATTGGTTAATAAGTACAAAGTGTCCTAAGATCCTTAAGTGAACTCTTCTGTGTCTATTATATCTCAAGTGGATACTATCGATCAATTAATTTTTTTAGCACCTTCTATTTGTAAGACACCATCATAGGCAATCCACTAGAAGCAGTGAGAGAATACAGAGTAGGAAGGTGGGGGGTAAAGGGGAGTATGTTCCTCTGAGTGTTAGTCTCTGTTTTACAGAGAAAAACTTAAGGATTGAGATTATTCTCCAAGTACGAAGAATACATGTCTCCTCATTGTCTTTTGGAAAATACACACATAGTATGACCTTTGATCAAGAATGCATTTCAGATTGACCATCATTTTAGCTTGGTGGTTACTTTTACTTGTACAGACTATGTAGTGGTGTTAACTTTCATAAATATGGCTTACACTGCATATGACTTTTAATTTACTTTTGCTGTTATTCAGCCAGTATTTTCCTCTTGATCAGCACATTCAGGCATATTGTTCTAGTAAGCAAAACTTTATGTGCTGGTCATAGTTTCCTTTGAAGCAATCTTCGTACAGCTGTCTTGATTAGTCCCCCAAAATCATTTCGGAAAGGATCTTTGACTGTTTTTTAAATTCACAATTAGATCAGAGCATTAGAACTGGAAGGATCTAAGAGATCATCTTGTATTGTTGAACTGCTTATTATTTTATCTGTGGAGGAACTGAGATCCTGAGAAGAGCTATAACATGCCCACGGTCACACAGAGCTAGGACCAGGTCCATAGCAACATAGCCCGGTGCTTGTCAAACTTTAATGTGCCTCTTGAATCTTAGATTAAACAAATTGTCAAACCCTGCTCTCAGTCCCTGTTTCCCTTCTACAAAGGCAGTGGGTATACAGTGAGCTTATTTCTCATTTTCTACCAAATGATGTTCAGTGATGACCCAAGAATTGTTGAGTTTGGCCAACTGCCTAGGAGTCTGGTTCAAAGGTGGGTTTGATGTATTAGTTCAGGTTGATGCCCCAGATTCTCCATTTCTTACAAGCTCCCAAGCTAATGACATTGCTGTGCTGGTGCTGCTGGTCCCTGGATCACACTTTGAGTGGCAGGGCTAAAATGTTCTTCCTGATAACTGGCTATGTCAAGTTCTTTTAACATGTTTAATTAAAAGGATTTTTTTTTTTTTGAGGCCAGGCGCAGTGGCTCACGCCTGTAATCCCAGCATGTTGGGAGGCTGAGGCGGGTGGATCACCCTGAGGTCAGGAGTTCAAGACCAGCCTGGCCAACTTGGTGAAACCCTGTCTCTACTAAAAATACAAAAATTAGCTGGGCATGGTGGCATGCACCTGTAATCCCAGCTACTCAGGAGGCTGAGGCAGGAGACTCGCTTGAACCTGGGAGGTGGAGGTTGCAGTGAGCCGAGATCGTGCCATTGCATGCCACCCTGGGCAACGAGAGTGCAACTCCCTCTCAAAAAAAAAAAAAAAAAAATTTTTTTTTTTCAATTGATCTGTGATATAGCTTGAGGTATAATAAGTAGT